TTGTAAGAAACTACAGAAAGTTGTGAACACAGCCCAGACCATCGCACTATCCAACTTCCCATCCATCGACTCCATCTACACTTCTCGAAGCTGTGGAAAGGCAGTGACTATCATCAAAGACCCCTCCTACCCTGGTTATAATCTCTCCCAATCTCTTCTGTCAGGCAGAAGATACAGAAGCTTAAACAAACGTACCAACAGGTTCAAGAACCGCTTCTTTCCTGCCGAATGTGCCTCTGAAATTTCCAGTCTAATGTCTGTCTCGCATTTTGTGCACCACCTTTGCAGCTGTAACTTTGTATTCCTCGCTTTGTTCAATCCCCCTGTGATCTTGGTATGTCATGATCTACCATAGTGAATGCAAAACAATTTTTTTCACTGCACTTAGGTACATGTGATAATAATAAATCAAATCAAATAGATGTGGGTTCATGCTGTAAAGATTTGAAATATGGTTAAAGTTATTCTGGGACAGTGACTGAAATGCATGGTTCCAAGGAGACGTGGCCTCACTTGAATGTTGATGGAATATTTCTGGGTTTAGGGCAGTCTGTGTAAACTCATTCAGCCCAATAACTTTCCAGTTCAGTTCAGAAAAGTGCCTTAATTGATAAAAATCAAGTTAAGTTGATAGACAAGTTCTGGATTCTCTCCCCTCAGATGAAACCAGTTAGCTCCAGCAACCACATTCTGCTCTAGATTGTGAAGCTTCCAAGCCAAGAAGGTGTGGGGTAGAAATCTCCAGATTGTTAGAATTGGAAAAGTTTAGGTCATCAGAATCACGAGGGCTTCACAGCATCAGTCCCAGAGAGGGTTTTGTAGATGTTTCTCCATGGTTCGAGTGTGGAAGCACCCAGTTAGCTAGGACTCAAAGGATTGAGATAACATAATATTTTTGGACTTAGGTTTCTGTAACAGGTAACGTTGGGAAACAAGTTGAAATTTTTTTTTGATGTTTGTGTTAGATGTAGAGCTCGGCTTGTTTGTTTTATTTGCGTTCTCTGTTAAAGAACATTTACAGTCTCGTATGTAACCAGCAGCAATTTGGGGAACTGACCTGTCCAGCTGGGATTGTAAAAAGGGATAGAGAGACAGGAGAGATCAACTTCCTGACCACTGACAGACTAACATAACCAGGGAGCTTTAAAAATTTTTTTGTTTTTTTTAATTCACATGGGATGTGGGCATTGCTAGTTGGCCAGCATCTACTGCCTGTCCCTAATTACCCTTAAACTGAGTGGCTTGCGATGCCATTTCAGAGGGCAGTTGAGAGTCAACCACATTGCTGCGGATCTGGAGTCACATGTAGGCCAGACCAGGTAAGGATGGCAGTTTCCTTCTCTGAAGGACATCAGTGATCCAGATGGGTTTTCCGACAATCGGCAATAGATTCACGGTCATCGTTAGACTCTTAATCCCAGATTATTATTGAATTCAAATTCCATCATCTGCTGTGGTGGGATTCGAACCAAGGTCCCCAGAATATTAGCTGAGTTTCTAGACTAATAGACTAACAATAACACCACTAGGCCATCGCCCTTGCCTAGATCTACAAGCCAAGTTACAGGAGCAGCAATTGAGAGATTTTGTCACACTGGAATCATTGTTTGCTGGTGAGAGAAGTGAGAAAGACGACAGAGTTAATTAATCTTTTTATGAATGTTAAATTAGCAAACATTTAAACAAATAAATCGGTAGGTGCATCACAATCAGTGTGTGGTGCTGACTCAGGCTAAAAGGTGCTTTCTTGGACATTCACAATCTGGTTTGTGTGTGACATCTCACAGGCTGGAAAACACATTCAGCTTTACATACAATCATATTCAGTGCAAAAATAGAAGCATTGCAAGTGATTCAGGAAAACACCTGAGTCAGGCGAATATTAACAAAACATGGAACCAGGGAGTGAGTGGGAGATGTGGTCCCTGACATGTTGCTGTGTGAGTGGTTTGATGGGTTCTGCCTGGGAATGGGCTCTAGGTGTAGAGTACGCAGCCATCAGGCTCAGCAGGAATCTGGAATGACAGTGAAGCTGCTGAAAGGACAGTACAGGCCATCCCTCCCGAACTGTAATGAGTCTGTTAGCTTAGCCCCATCATTGTCCTATCATTCATGCCCCAACCTCACAGTGTGAAATGGTCAGCATCTTCAAAGAGATAGTTTGAAGCAGCAGCTGCACCATTACCCTGCCCTTCTCACACTGCGGTCACTTCACCCATAACTGGGGTCACAGCACTCAGCCATTGCCCACTCTCCAGTCTGCAGAGTCGGAGCCAGCCCACAGTGAGAAATCCAGTCAGTCCCAAAGGCACAGGTAACAGCGATGGGTCATCACACCCTGTGTCAGAGACTCAGTACAAGCCTCACCGGGTCAGGGTCTGTCAGAGTCTATAGGGCTGAGGGTCTGACTGGGTCAGGGTCTGTCAGAGTCTATAGGGCTGAGGGTCTGACTGGGTCAGGGTCTGTCAGAGTCTATAGGGCTGAGGGTCTTTGCACAGGTTAGCTCACTGTAAACATTTCTTATGGCCCTGGTCATCCTTGGTCAAACTGTAGCCTAAAACCGCAGAAATATTGCATCTGAGTTGAACTGGATGTTATGATTGCCCACATTCTGTTCTGGTTCCTTCTGGTTTTTCTGAAGCAGGAGTCAGTCAGCGGTCAGTATTGGGATGTCCCTCACTTGCCCCAGTGATTGAGAGCATCCACACCCCCAGCCTCCATGTCCATTCCCCACCCTCATCCTCGGTGTCCTGGGTGTAGTGTCACATTTACGGAAAAAATTATCTTCATCCAAATCTTTACAGGAAAATCATACAACAAAATAAATGGTTGTGAGCTCCCTCAGAGGCAAGGGGGCCCAAGCAGCATCTAAAGCTGATGTTAAATAGCAAGCAAGCTCAGTCCATATCGAGTATATGTGACCTCCATATAACAGTATTTACAGGCTTGGCTGCGTATCCTCAGACTTTATACACCTTGCTTCATTACACTGTCTCTGCACTCGGGCTTGTCACCAATTACACAGAAACGGAGGAAAGTGCATGGAGTGAGGGTTTTGGTGTCCCTGCGTTTCAGGAGCGGCCTGTGTGGGGCACCTCCCCAGAACTCACTCAGTGCCGGCTCAGGGGACAGGGGCTTTGACCTGAAGCCTGGTCAAACAGGAAACTCAAACTAATCAGGCAGTCACAAAGGAGGAGAGGGAGCCCAGTGCGCCTGGGTGGGGGGGGAGAAAAGTTGAAAGGTGGTGGGGCGGGTGCATGGGAGAAATGAGAGAGAAATAGGGAGAGCTAGCGAGAGAGAGAGAGAGCAAGATCATGAGACAGGGAGTATGAGAATGAGAGAAGGAGGAGGCAGGGAGAGAGAGGGAGACAGAGGATGAGAAAGAGAAGGTGCAGAGGGAGAGAAAAGGGAACGGTGAGCAAGAAAAGGCTCTGAGAGACAGAAAGAGAGAGACTGGAAAAGAGACAGAGACAGAGACAGAGACAGACAGATAGACAGGGAGAGAGACTGGCAGAGAGACTGGCAGAGAGAATGAATGATAATGCATGAACACACTTAAAAATATGTGATCTCCTTCTCCTGGCCTTTTTAATGCTGAGCCCCAGCTGGTACAGGATTAGCACAGAGAGACAGACAGACAGGCAGAGAGAGAGAGAAAGAGAGACAGACAGACAGAGAGAGATGGGAGGGTGAGGGGGAGATGGGGAAGTTGGAGAGAGAGACAGAGAGA